GGCCCGCTCGTCGGGCTGCGGGGCGGCGCCGCACTGCTCACCGCCTTCCTCACCGCGGCCCTGAGCCCCGCGGCTCGGCTGAAATAGTACCAGCCGCTCCCGAGGTGGCTTTTGTGTCTTTTCCAGGTGAATGTGCAAAAGGCAAAGGTAAGTCATTCTTTTCAACAGAGGATCCTTTATTTGAAAACTTTTCCTTGAAAGACAGTTTGTGAAGGACGGGCCCAGCCTCCCTCCACGGGACTCGGTGGTCAGTGCTCCTTAAACCTGGAGGAAGAGCACAAGGCGGTGGCTGTCACTCAGCCCGCAGCCACGCGGGCGCAGGTGCCCACCAAGTGCCGGTTCCCGGGTCCTCCCACCCCCACAGCCTCCAGGGCACAGAGGGGAGGAGGGGACACAGGGCGGGGCAGGGCCAGGCTGGGCTGGCGGCGCTCCCTGTCTGAGGAGAACAAAGGAGGCAACTTGCCCTCACGTGTTTTCACTCAGAGCTTGAGGAGAGACAGCCGGGGCCACAGCCAGCCCGGGCTCAGTGGGAGAGGAACACGGGGGAGGGAGCCGCCGTTGACAGGGGCCCCGGGGAGGCAGGCAGGTGAGGGGCAGGACTTACGGAACTTGGTCTCCAGTCGCCAGCCCTGGGCAGCTCAGCTCCTTGTGTATGAGGCGGATCAGGAACTGCGCCCGAACAGAGACGAGGCCCTGAGCGCCTGCCCTGCACCCGCGACGCCCACCCAGCTCGGCGCTCACGTTCACCATGTCTGCAGATCTCCCGGGCCGTGGGGGGTGCCCCTCAGAGGGGCCTCTTCTTCAGCACATCAAAGACCGAAACCCCAAAGCTGAGCGGTGGAGCCTCGCCCAGCCCCAGGGCCTGGTCCCCGAGCAGCACCCTGCTCACTAGGTCCCCTGCGTCACCCCCGGGGTCGTGCTCCCGGAAACAAGGCCGTCAGGACAGACTGCAGCCAGAATGACCTCTGTGTTCAAGTAATGTTTAAAATGAAACCAGTCCAATCATAAAATGTCCAAGCGGCAAAGAGACAGAGAGTAAGGACAAGGTGGCCCACAGTCGTGGTGACACATGGGAGCTGCCACGTGGCTCCGAAGGCCAGGCGAGCGCTCACCAGCCATCGGCACCAGGAGGCTGGAGGGCGGTCGTGGGAGCAGCTCTGTGTCACTGGGAAGCTCCTGGGAGAGCGCCCCCCCGGCCTCGAGTAAGCCCAGAGAGGCCCTGCCTCCCCGTCGGGGAGCAGTCCTCCTCCCCTTCTGCTCCTTCCCATGCTGAGGGGCTGCGTGCAGACAGCGGGGAAGCATCGCCCGGTGTCACTGCAGCTGTGGACCTGGTCCTCCCCCGGCGCGGCCGCAGCCCCCAGAAGGGCTCCCCCATCGCGTGCAGAGCCTCGGGGCTCCCGAGGGAGGTCCGGCTCTGGTGGCCCAGATTCTTAGATAGCTGCAGGTACCCTCGGGCCCGAGGGAGCCCGGGGCCCGGAGAGGCCCAAGGCGGTGGGGCTGCCGAGCAGAGGTTTGAGGGGCCGCACAGCGCAGGCCTCAGCTCTGCAAGGCAGACACGAGTCCTTAGATGCGCGAGGCTCAGGGGGAGCTTGCCCTCGTGTGACGGACGCTGTCCAGAGAGCGGGTGCTTCTCCCGCGGGGAAGGCGCCGCCTGGCTGCGCGCGGGGCCCCTGCAGCCGCAGCCACAGCCCCAGTGCTGGTGGGGGCCTGTTCGCTGCTGTGAGCGGTGCTGGTGGGAGAGTCACGTTGCTTTAATCAGCTGACCACGCAGATGTGAACCTCCAGCTCAGCTGCCCGTACCGAGCTGCCGAGGCCAAGCTGAGCTGGTGTCCCCTCAACACAAGTTCCACCACGTGCAGTGAGTGACCAGCGCTCGCGGGGTGAGCCCATGGTTACAGGAGGCAGATCCCAGGAGGAGGGAAAAGAGGGAGGAAAAAGTGAGTGTTCCCTGAGGGCCTGGGGGACACTGAGAGGCAGCGACACCTCTGAAGGACCAACGTCTAAGACTTGACACAAGTGGCTGCCTGTGCGCAGCGCCGCCCAGGTGCCCCCATGGTGGGGGCTGCAGCCCGTGCTGACGTGAGCTGGAGGGGGCTGCGGACCGGAGGGCACGGCCCCTGGTGTGAGCACGCGCCCCGCTGCGCAGGCCTGACCCGCCGGCTTCACTGAGGTCCGCCTCGGACTTGGAAGGAGAGGAAACCGGTCAGGCGACCGTGAAGAGAGGGCGTGCCTGGGCTGCAAGGCTGAGAAGGCTTGTCCTCGCTGGCACTGGCGGGCCGCCTGCCGACCAGGTGACCTCGCCTCTCGTGGTGTGACTGGCTTCAGTCCCTCTCACCTGACCCAGCCAGTCTGAAGGCCTCCAAGTGACTGTCTGCCTGTTATACAGTTTTCCACTCTTTTCCTTTTGTCCCTTCTGATTCTGACATTTCATCATGTGTCCTGTAAACACCTGGAGCCGGGTCTTCGCAGCCGGTCCGTGGTCTGCTGGGACCGCGAGGCAGCCGGGCCACAGTCCTGCTGGGCCCGCCCCGTCACATCCGCCCGCCTCCTCCACGTGGCTCTCGTCCTCGGCTCTCTTCTCTTCTACTGTCGCTTCCGGCCCCGTCTCCCCAGCTTCCCCCTCTGGAGCCCCCCCGGACGGCGCTGGACCGGCTTCTCTGGGCCTCCGCTCTCCACCTGCTGCCTAGTGTTTCCTGTCTTCCTGTTTCTGGGCTGCACCCCGGATCGCTTCCTTATGTCCATCTCTCTCCAGCTCGGTCCTCTTTACTTCTTGCTCTTTTCTCATGAAGAGTTCAGTCGCTTCTCTGACATCTTCATTATGTTGGATGTGTTTATTTTTACGGCTCATCTGATAACCCTTTTACCTGCTGCTCTGGGGGTCGGGTTCTGTCTGCCACCCCATCACCACAGCCTGTTTCCTGCTCTTTCCTGACCTGGGGTGAGGCTGGGAGCTCATCCTTGGGGGCGCTGTCAGCTGTGGGACTCTGTGCAGCTGGGCTGAGGTTTGTCCCTCTCAAATGGTTTGGGATTTGCTTCTGCCTAAGACCCAGGTATAGCACCACTCCAGGATCAGTTTTACCCGATTTTGGTGCATGTCATGTAATATTTGCATAACGTAAGTTAGAAGTGAAAGCTCACTGTAGGCAGGGGAGGTCCCCCCGCCCCTAGTCTGGCGATCGGGCGAAGACCCTGGTTCCCCTCTGCACCACGTGCAGCGGCTCCGCGCCAGCGCACGCAGAGCCCCAGGGGCCTGCCTCGACGAGGAGGTGGGTCTGCTCCTGCGGCTCCCCGTCCTGCGCCAGCCCAGACCCCCGTCTCCTGCTCCCGGGCCCGCAGCACCCGGCCCCTCAGTTCCTGAGGCCGACCCCTCCCCGGCTGCTCCAGCATCAGCGTGGGGACTATTTCACGTTGCCTCTAGGTTTCTGGGTCCGGGGCCCACCCCTCCTTTCTTACAAGTCTGACTGTGTGTTACAAGGAAGGTTAACGTATGTGTTACCTGCTGCTCCTGAAACAGGAGCGTTTCTGTCTTTAAGCAGCCACCCTGACGGAGGTCTCACCGCTACCTAGTGCAGGTGACCGGGGACTTAACTGGGAAGCCGCTTTCAAAACCTAACAGGTCTGCACGCTGGGAGCTGGTGTTTGATTCTGTATGAAGTCGGGGGAGCTGCGTTGTAGGGCTGCCCGGACTATCGATACAAAACTTTCATTTAATTGATGGAGCTGTTATTTCCCAAGTCTTGACTCTCTGCCTGGGATCCAGGTTAGGTTTTCCCGGGGAAGAGAGAGGAGGCCTCACTTCAGGTCTGGGGCCCTGTGCGGGGTGACTGGTCAGGGCGAGGGCGTGGTGGCCGCTCTCTAGTGGCCACTGCGTGACTGTGCCATCAGCACCGGTCTTCTGCATCCGAGGGAAACCTCCCATCGTCTCACGCAGGAGGGATGGGAAGTAGGATCCAGAGGACGGAGGGGCCTGGTGCCACGTGGGCAGCCTCAGCCCCACCTCTCTCTCCCGGCCCCTGGGGCGTGGGCAGTCGGCTGCTCCCCCCGTGTGGCCGCTTGGGGACAGGAGGATGTGGGGGCAGGAGCAGCACTGTCTCGGAGGCCAGCTTCAGTGCGCTGTCCCCTTTAACTCCCACAGTCATCCCGTCACCGGGGCCAGCACTCTGCCCACTTGACACGTGGACGCTGTGGAACAGAGGGGCACTCGCACGGGACAGCCGACAGGCTCAGGGTCCCAGGCAGGGCACCCCCGCTTGTGGCCTTGCCACCAGGCTGCTGGGAACCGCAGGGCGGCAGGCTGACCTGCTGCTGCTTCGGACGTCTGTTTAGACCAGAAGGAGAAAGGGCCTTGGACCTCAAACATTTAGGGTCCCTGGGTGTGTGACAGGCCGGACTCCCTGAGCCCTGCAGGAGTCCGCGGGAGGGAGCGGTGGGGCAACAGCCACAGAGACACTCACGGGAGCCGCTTGCGCCGCCAGCGAGCTGCTTACCAGTAAGGCACAGGCGTCTGCGAACATCAGCATGTAGAACACGTTGCTCCATCCAGACGGCGAGATGAGCCCGGCCAGCAGCGGGCCCAGGGCTGCCCCTGCAGCGAGACAGACGACACGCGGCTCCTGGCGAGGAGGACTCTGGGACGTGGTCACCCGAGACACCCAGGCCCGCAAACGCACAGCGGAGCGCCGCGCCTGACTCAAAACGCAAGAAACAAGCTAACCGGGACACCCGCGTTCTCAGCCATCAGACTGGTGAGGGGCGAAAAGCCTGGCACCTGGTGCCGGTGAGGGCAAAACTGGAACAGGGTTTTGGGAAGCCGATCTAAAAACTTGTCGACATTAAAATGTTCACCCTTTTGCTCCAACAATCCCATTAAAAATGGTTCTAAAGTAATCTGAATCTAACACACAGTCTTAGATATTCTCATGCTATAGAAATATTTAGTAAAATGTGAGTGAGGCTTGTAGATACTAATATTGTATCAACGTTAACTTCCTGCTTCTGACAGCTGTGCTGCGGTCACATCAGGACTTCCTTGTCTTCAGGGAACACACACTGAGTACACAGCTAATGGTAAGGGGCAGAATGTCTGCAACGTACTCTTACGTGGTTTGGGAAAAAATGCATGTGTATATTCATAGTATATGTGTGTGTGTGCGCGTGTGTGTGAGAGAGAGGGAGGCAGGGAAAGGGGGAGAAAGGGGGAATGATAAAACAAGTGGGAATTCTTTGTACTATTTTTGCAACCATTTTGTGAGTCTCAAATTATGTCAAAATGATGTCTTAAAAAAACTATAAAAACAAACGAAAGAAATGTTCCTCAAAATACCCAAAGACACCTGTTCAGGGATGTCTGTCGCAGCAGTGGGGCTGTTTTCCCACGAGGGACTGGAATGAGCCGTGGTGCACGTGCCGGGTGGGCCACTGGCAGTGAGAAGTGTGAAAATTCACGCCGAGTCACGCACCGAGGTCTCACCTCCGAGAGCAGGGCCAGCACGGCCCTTCCTGCTTGGGACGCACTAACGCTGTCCGCAGTGTTTACAAAGGGCACGTACTACTTTTATAATCTGAGAAGCATCTGCGTGTTTTTTTGTAATCACAGAAGGGCTCCCTGGTAAACACAGTAGACCGTTCACACGTGCTTAGCTCTACAGCCCCCGAACACCACAAAATGGACCATAACTGAATAAAAACTAAAACCTGCAGACAGAGAGCACCTGAGGGAAGGCACTGTTTGTGTGGATGAGATCTAAAGGGCACGACTGATGCACTCTGGCCCTCCTTGCCCAGGGCCAGGCTGCCCATGGCATGAGGCAGGGGAGGGTGGGCAGCAGAATGAAACAGATCTGGCCGAAAGCCTCTTATAATGAACTATGAGACGTGCCCCCACCCCCCGACCCCAGGGCCCTTCTCTACCACATCACTCCCCCAGGACCACCCCTCCCAGACCCCAGGAGCCCCCCTCCCCGACCCCAGGGGAGCAGAACCTTAGCTGTTGGGAGAGTCTGCACCAGAGGCTTTGGGCTCAGGGGTTCCGAGCTCGGTGCAGGATGGGCACGAGGCACCACCGAGCACGGGGAGAACAGGGAGGGACACCAGCTTCCACCAGGCAGCCCCTCCCATGACGGCAAGGATGCTGGCCGTTAGGTGCACACCACCCGTGGGTACTGGGGGGCTCCTCCTCCAGACCCGAGCCGGACCCCAGAGACATGCAACTGACATGCCTCCCATGCGGAAAAGGCTTCTAATAAGTGCTTAGCAGCTCAGTCTTAAATGCAAACATATGAGGGGATGGCTGAGATCCACCTGCGTCTGAGGAAAGCCTCAAGGTAAATGTGAACAATCTGGGAGGAGGGGGAACTGCAGAAAATGAACAAACTGGGGAGAAGAAAACTCCCAGCAAAGTGCAACAGCCCCAGAGAACTGACGGGAAACCAGGCTGAACCACGTGAGACTCCCGCTCCTGCATCCGAAATCCAGTCCAGCATCAGCAACTTCTCGTGACTCAGCCTCACACACACTGATCCCAGAAGAAAGAGCAGGATGTACTCAGAGCGCAGAGACACTAACGAGCATGAATGACGGCAGCTAAAACAAAAGGCTCAGTACGGAGGCTGGAAGGCGAAGCCAGGAGCATCTCTGAGAAAGCTCAGGAAAAGAACAAAGACTCAGGCAGGCAAGGAAAACAGAAAATTGAAGGATCAATTTTCCAGAAGACAAAAACAGGGAGGGAAACCTGTCAAAGAGAAGACAGGGCGCACGTCCCAGGGATGGAGGGCCTGTGTTTCCAGACGGGGTGGGCCCCCGGGTGCCCGGGGCGCAGGGACGAGGGGGAGCCGCAGAGGCAGAGAGGTGAGCCTGGGGGTCTCCCAGGGAAGAGAGCAGGGGCCAGAGGTCACAAGCGGAGGCCTGGCCGAGGATGACAGTGGGGCTCTCCGTGGTGGAGGTGGGAGCTGGATGACACTGGAATTTGGAAGAAAAAGGACTTTCAACCTAGAACTCTAGATCCAGACAGACTATCCACCAGGCGAGAGCTGAATCCAGACCCCTTCCCAGTGCTCCCCAGCGCTCACGGGCTATGTCCTGCAACCCACTACTCAGGAAGCCACGAGAAGACATTTCCCACCAAAGAGGAGTCGTGAACACGGGACCTGGCGAGGAGGGGTCCACTGCAGGGGGAGACGGAAGGGATCCACAAGCTGCGGTGTGACAGCAGCTCTGGGATGAGGGCCGCACAGCAGGTGAGAGTGAAGCCGGGCGGCACGTGGCTGCGGTGGACAGGAAGGGGCAGCTGTGACAGAAATGCCAACCAAAGGGCAGGTGAGGCATTCGATATTTTGGAGAAAAACAAAAATGTGCATGTTAAGGATGCGTAGTTAAGGTTTATTTCTTGGCTCTAGAGAGAGCGACATTAAAGAGCCAGGGTGGTGAAGGAGCCGACGGGCACGGAGTAGAGGCCGCACCTTCCTCACCAGGAGGACAACACGGAAGCTCAAGAAACGTGTGACCGTGCATGGAGGAGACGAGAGAGCACAGCCGGCAGTGACGGCTTCCAGAAAGAGGGGCTGGGGGGCGGGGGCGGGGGCGGGAATGCCATTCTGCATTATGGTAAGTTTTGACGTCTATCTGGTTTCTAAAGTTACGTTATGCTTTGCTTTGATAAAATGAAAATGAGCTTGAAGAAGTTCCAGGCTCTCTAACTGCTCTGCATAAACATGGAGCCAGCAAGCCCTGTGGCCGCGGAGGCGCGGCTCTAATCCCACGAAGGCGCCCAGCAGATAAACCTGTGTCACTGGGACCGGCTGGCCCTGGTGACTTGCGAGAGGGCACTGGCTTATTTACAGTTAGTCAAGCTTCGCCTCCATCGAAACCGGCATTTCCAATACTTAATAAACACGGCGGGCGAACTCCCCGGTGAACAGCAGCTTTGCGGGAACTGCGTGTGTTTCCACCTGAGCCCGGCTTTGCTTCCACCAGCTGGGCAGCGCTCCCGCAGAGAAACAGGCCGTTTCCCCGACGGCCGCCGGAGAGGTCAGAGGGGCTGAGCCGCCCGGCTTCCATGGGGGTGGAAGGTGCTGGGGGCCGTGCCCCCCCCACCGGCTCGGGGCCTGCCCCGTTTACAGACGCAGGACACCCTGAGCCACGGACTTCTGCTTCCCTCTAGCTCTGAGAAAAGTATCAAGAAAAATGTGTTTTTTCCCCTAATTCATACTTTCCTTCATTTTAACCCCCACTCATCTGCTTTAAAATGCAATCAGGGCCGCCAGCCAAGCTCCAAATTTGCTTTAAGAAAAGGGTTTCTTAGCGGGAGCTGGACTGACCCACAGACAGGCCTGTGTGGGATAGAAGCAGAGAGAAATGTCCCTTCCAGAGCCCACGAGAACCGTGCTGGGCCCAGGGCTCCCCCTGCTGTGTGGCTTCCAGGCTGGGGAGAAACTTCTCGCTAATAGTGTGGCACCAGCAGGGACTGGGGTACCCGCCACCCCAGGTGGGCAGGCCTGTCCTGGCGAGCCGGGTGGGCACTGGGTCGCCCAGGGCCTCTGTGACCTGGGCCCTCACCCGGGAACCCAGTAGCTGGACAACAGACCAGCTGCCTGGCCTGTGGGCGAGTCCTGTGTCTCAGGGCTGCCAGGCAGTTCCCTTCTCACCCTCCTCCTGAGCATCTGCTCTGTCCCGGGCTCCCCCTTGGTGCTGAGAACACAGCAGAGAACAAAATCACTCCTGTCCTTGTGGGGCTTCCACTCAGCTGCAGGGAGAGAGGACAGCACAAGACAGACAGGAGGATGGTGCCTGGAGGACAGTGGACCAGAGGAGAGGCCCTGAGCCTGCGTGGGGAGAGTCCACGCACCCAAACGGGGTGGGTGAGGGGTCCCAGTGAGAGGCTGATACCTGGGTGAAGACTCTCTGTGGGTGGAGCCCCTCCCTCAGCACGAGGGTGGTGGGGGGAAGCGAGCTGAGGCCCGTGGGGACCAGGCTCGAGTTTCTGGGGAGCAGCCGGGAGGCCGGGTGGCGGTGGCAGGAGGAGAGCAGGGTTGGGGGGAGGACTTCAGTCCCGGCATCAGTCAGACAGCAGTGGGCGTCTAGAAGTGGACCGGGGCTGCTTCTACGCGGCTCGGATGATGGGCCTCGGGAAGACGGGACAGAGGCATCTCGTGGTGCAGAAGGAGAGCCTGAAGGCCGGCTCGGGGGGACCTGCGCCACAGACCCGCCGTCGTCTGGCAAGCGTTGGGTTTCCCTGCTCTGAGCTGCTCCAGACCCAGGGCCCTCCCCACCTGGCCTGCCTGCTCTCTCACTGCCTCCCTGCGTCAGGAGCCTGGGGCAGCGGGGACACACCAGCGTGCCACCCAAGAGCCTCCCGAGCAGCCATGGGGGGCACAGCAGGCGGCCCCCCGAGCTTCAGGTCCCACGTCTCCAGAGAGGGGCCAGCACACAACACAGGGCCGGGCAGGCAGGGCTCATGCAGGCAGAGCCAAGCTGTCCCAGTGCACCTGCTCCTCAAGTGAGGCTGGGAACAGTCAAAGACGTTGCTGTCAGCCTTCAGACTCACTGATCAGCACAGGCTTGCTGGGTACCAGGTCCCGGCCGCCCAGCTCGGGGACGGGAAGAGGGTGAGATGTTCATTTCACCCCCTTTCTTTCCTCCAGAATATGCTACCGCGTCCCCTCCAAGACCCTTCAGGGGCTGGAAAGATGGGCATCTTGTCTGCTTCAGGACCCAGCAGTTCACCTGTCATTCATGTTTGAGTAAGATGCTGTCCTCGTTGGAATGACAGTGACAAATAGTCAGTGTCTCAGCGGCCCGTGGGCCATAGTTTGCCAACCACTGGCTCAGATGAAAACCTGCGGACCATCCTTTCACACCAAGGAAAACCTATCCTTCTGGCCACACGCCCACTCCTCCTCTGGAGCCATCCGACCAAAGAGGACCAAAGTGCCACCTGCCTGTGTCCCCTGGGTTTCTACGTGCTTTTGATCTGCTTGTATTTTAAGAAGGCCAGCCGGTCCTAGAATGGCCAAAGCAACCATGACCCTGGGCATCCGTTAATGTGGACAATTAGGACACGCTGACGCGGCCTCCCCTCCGACCACAGTTAACCTCTGAGGCTAAAAACCCCCACACACCTACAGACCCAGTCCCGTCGATGATGGCGGTCACGGTGGCCAGAGCGTGCGCGTTTCCTTTCAGGCTTTTGTGAGTCCCCTGGAGGAGAGAGAAAGCCAGTGTGAAACACGTCCCCGCAACATCAGAGTGAGAACTGACCTGTGTCTTCTACATGACGATTTACCCAAACTGCTTCGTAAAGCAAGGCGTGGGGTACTTCCGTCAGAAGATTCAAGCTCCACGCCATCCCAAACGTGCCAAGTTTCACGTGTTTTTAATATTTAAAAAAATGAACAGAAATACTTGTCCAAACATATTCCAGTTAAGAGAACTCTTAAAATTCTCCTCAATAAATCTTTACTCGGCACAGCCACCCTCTTCACGACGCAGAGATCAACGCAGAAACCACAAGGAGAGTGGGGCTCGCCGGGTCCCTGGCAGGGCCGGCGTGTGCGCCGGCGGCCATGGCTCTGCTGGGGATGCTCTCCGGCGGCTCTGCAGCGTCTAAAAATCAGCCCGCGAGGCGGTAAACGCCAGGGAGGAGGGGCGGGCGGCGGGGCCCAAGAAACCTGCTTACGGGGCGGAAGTTCTACGTGAAAAACCAGCAGGAGCTCTGGTTTTCAAAAAGCCACACAAATTAGGTGGAGGGAAAAACACAAACTGAGAACAATAAAAGGAAAAGCTGAATGAGGAAAAATAATGCCCAGGAGCCTAAAACTGTAAGAATAAACCAAAGCTTGTACGAGCGCTTGTGTGTGCATGGGCATATAGCATAAAATAGAGCACCCGGAAGAACCCCCCTATGGTGGGTGAAGCGCCCCCACCCCTGTGCCCTGTAACCCCACGGGGCTGACATGCCGTGTGCGCTCCGCCTGGGCTGTGCGCGCTCACCAGGTCGGCGGAGACGGCGGTGGTGATGAGCGCATACGGCCCGCTGACCAGGGCCCCGCAGAGCAGCAGCATGGCTGTGGAGAACAGACCCGGGAGAGGGCGGTGGTTAGAAAGCACGACAGGGCCCCCGGGAGAGCCCCCGCAGTCTTAGCACCCCGCATCACACGTGGGTGCTGCCCTGAGTGGAAGGCGAGCAGGTGCCGGCCTACCCTCCTCGCCCACAGCGGTCACTGCTGGGGTGAGAGTCATAAACTGCTCCTTTAAACTTGCCCCGGGGTACGTTTTGTAAGTTCAATCACGCTTTCCCAGAGGTTCAGGCTATGTTCAGAGGAGCCGGTACCCTGTTTGCTGAATCTCAATGGGCAGCAGCTGTTGTCACAGAGAGGGAGCGAGAGCCCAGGGCACCGAGCACAGACGTGACCACAGGCGTGGCCAGGGGAGCGCCTGCTCCTTGTCATCCGGCGGCCCGGATGCTGACGCCAGCCACGGTCTCACCTGCAGCGGAACGGCTTCCTCTCTGCACTCACTGCTGCTCACGGCAGCCCCCAAGGGGGCCCCGGAGCCCCAGCGCGGCTGAGCTGTTCACGGGCGGGACAGCCCTGCCCGTTTCTGAGATGCGGTCTCCTAGACTCTGGCTCAGTCCCCCAGCCTTCCTCTGGTTCACATTCCTCTGTGCAGAAGATTCTGGACCCAAGGGTCATAGGAAACTCCAGGATCCTCTTGCACACACAAGCTGCCCCCTGTGTAACATTTAATGGGATCCCACACAGCCCCCTCTGATCCCCACTGCCGCCTTGTCAGAACAGAAGAAATGTTTACTAAGTGTCACAGCCATAATTTGACAGCACTGCTTGCAGGAAGTTAAAAATAGTCCTCCAGTGTGACACCCAGAATGGCGGCCGCCAGAGCCAGCTGAGAGGGCCGGCTCCCCGGGGCTCGGCAGGCTGGGGTGCAGCCCGCCTGCCGCCTGCTCCTCACCAGGGGCAGCCAGGGCGCATCACCGCCCCAGACCAGGGGCCTGCACTCTCCCACGCTTGCCCTTAAACCTGCCGACCGTCAGGCCTCAGGTCTGGGAGCAGGAGCCCCAAGGCCCCACCCGGAGGGCCTCGGCAAAGACGCCAGCTGCACTGTCCCAGCTGCACGCTTCTTGCTGAGTTTTGTGTCATTCCACAAAGCTGTGTGGGTGGAAAAATGCATGTGAAAGGAAGGAAAGGGCTCATAAACTCACCTACGGTGGCTTCCAGACCCATTTTGCTGATGGCGGAGAATACGTACAGCTGTGAATAGGGAAAAAGAGGGTAAAGACAACGGTTTACTACAAGTGGCTGAGAGATTGACCAGGAATCTCTATTTCTGAAAAGTGATTCTCGGGCAGCCAATCAGAGAGTGGACACCCTCCAAAAAGCAGGATGGCCAGGCCACCCCAGCAGGCTGTCTAAGGACAGGCGTCGCAGAGAGCTTGGCACACAGTCCCCAGCCTTGCCCCAGACAGGCAGGGTCGGATCGCCCACGATCTGGGGAGCTCTGGGGGCGCCTCCACGCCGAGGTCCCGGAGCGAGGCCTTGTTGGGGCCGCCCCCCTGAGCTCTGCGTCTCAAGAGTCTACCCGTCTCCTCCCAGGCCGGCAGACCCAAACAGCCGCGCCCGCTGAGGTGGGGCCCTGGTGGCAAAGGGGCCACGCCCAGCAAGTCATCAGCCAAGGTTCTTTGAGTGTCTGTTCTGGGCAGTGTCCATGGCCCCAGGACAGCTGGAGACTAGGCTTTGTCTGGGGACAGTCAAGGCCCAGGGGAGTGGCAAACGGGCAAATAACTACAGTGCAAACAGATGAGCAGTCCTACGGCTTATGACACAGCTGCTGTGGGAACGGCCATGACTTGTGTTTTTCCACTTGATCCTCACAGTCGCACTGAGGTTTTTCAGATGAGGACACCGAGGCGCAGAGGGAGCTACTAAATACTTAAAATGTAGTGGATGGGCAGGGTTGGTGCTGCCTGGGGAGGGAGGGAAGACAGCAGGGATCCTAAAAAAACGTGCAGAAGCCTCTTGAGGGAGGGGAAGGGCGTCCCAAAGGGAACAGAGCACACGGGCACACGAGAAGCCAAGGGTGAGCGAGGGGCAGCGGGGTGCGTGGTGCGCGGTGGGCAGCGGGGAGGGGGAGGGGGGCCCAGCGTGGGGGGGCACTGAGCGCTGAGTGGGGCGCCGAGGCAATCACTGGTCTTGGAAACCAGAGCCAGGAGCGGAGCAGACGGGAGGGTCTGCCTGTGGGAGGACAAAGGGCTGCGTTTCCTCAGGCCCGGGGGTCCGACAAGGCAGTGGGAGGGCGGGCTCACCGTCGGGGCTGCGAGCAGCAGCATCAGGCCGCAGGTGGAGGCCCTTTTCTCCAGTCGATCTGAGATCACGCCCGCCAGGATCCCACCTACAAGGCAGAGGGAGGGCCCTGAGGGGCTTGCGTCCCCAGGGCAGGACCCCACAGAGCAGCAGCAGAACACGCCTCGCAGCAGCAGTGAGAAGAGTGACCTCCTGGCCGGGCCCTCTGCGCCCACATCAGAGTTGGCAGGGAGCGGCCTCCGCGGTGCTCGGCCTGGAACCGGCCTCGGTGGCCGTGGTCACATGACCCAGAGCCCCCCCCAC